GCTGCTCCCACAGTTTTGCTTTCGGGCAGCAGAGGAGTTTTGGTCATTCGTCTGTCAACCAAATCAGTTTCAAGTAACTCAATTAGGTTACCTGGCCATTGATTTAGTAAATGTTATATGGAATTTGTGCGTACACAAACGAATAAGTAATATACCCACTTCAATTTCGATCGGTTCGGTAGGAAGATACTGTAATAAGTTTTCAATAAACGTCTGAGCCCTCAGATAGGCAGACTTCGTTGGTTTTATCTCTATGATGTGGCTGGGGTCTGGCTCTGGTCGCACACGGACCTGGCTAATGCAGTTACAGCCTTACCCTTTGACGCCCCAGCCAGCCTCTGTTGCTGTTGCCACAACTGTGCATGGAATGAAGATGGCAGCATGGCATGGTTTAGTCTCGCTGCCGAACTAATCCGATTCAATTTTTGCTCCGCGTTCTTTGACACGAGAGCAAATGTCAGACAGCGCTGCAGCGACACCTCAGAGCATGGCATTGTGTGCCATGGCATTCCTTTGCTTTCTGCCTGATACTCCATCCAGCACTGAATAAATTACAGTTTAGTTCGTCGCCTCTTTCTTTCTTTTGCCGCGTGCAATGACCTTTGCCACACCAAAATTCTGACTCTTGTGTCATTTGACTTCCCAGTGAGTGTTTGGGAGCTTAGGCCTTAATTGGGAAATTCAGTTATCAAGATTTAATTACAATTAAAATAGAAATAAGACATTAATGCCTAGGGCTAATTGGAGTGCAAAGTTTTCCTCTGACTTCCCTCGTAAGTTCTGGACAAAATTATCGATTGGCCAGCGTGTTCGTCTTCGCACTTAATGAAATCAGCACAGAGAAAAAAAAAGAAAACAACAACATCCACTAGGGAAGGACACGCAATATCAAGTAAACGTCATGTGCCAAATTCATGCTACCACGACCGCCCGCAGTGCCCAAAGACCATACCGGATAGAGCGTAGAACGAAATGAAAATGCTTAGTCAACTGTAGCCTGACCTCTACCCTACGCCCACACTGCGGCTGACTCCTCGCTTCCTTCCTCAAGCCGGCCTCATCCTCTATGGCCAACTGAGCAGCAATCCACTGGAGGCAACTATTTTAAAAGAATTGCCTGGGTCCAGTCCCGTTGCCTGCCTCATGGAAATTTCATTTGTTGCTCAGGTTCCCGGCGCCTAACTGCGGTAATTACTCACACTTGACCCTCGAAGGGTTTAAGCCATTCCTGGGCCTCCTCAACTATGCCGCCTCGACTGTTGCCAGATAAATTGAAAATTTTCGGGGTGCAAAGCCAATCGTGAAGATGCTGTTGCCTCATTCCAAATATGCACCACAGTTTTTCAACGCTGCGCAATTTGCAGTTGATGGCGTCTTCTGGGGGTAACTTTAGCAATTTCCTAGGGAAATTGTTCATGGCCTGATTCATGCATCAGGTTCGCATCTAACAATTCCCAGTTTCCAGGTTGATTAGGTTAGGAATTAGGCATCTTCCACCAATCAGGATTGATTAGGTGTTGCCTACTTATGGGCCGGCGCCGCTGCACTAGCGATAACGTCCTTTGGGTTGCACACACACCCGGTCAAGTACTCGTTAGAGCAGATCAGGGACTGGCTGTGGCTTTAGGTTATTAAATAAATGAGAATATGGCACAACAACTTTTGGCAACAACATTAATTCACATGTTATAGTTCACACAAAGACACCCTTGCATGTTCGTCCATCTGAACACATGTATATGTGTGCACATAAACAATACTTTATTTACAATGTAATGGCATATAAAATGCCGTATCCAGTTCTTGCTCCCTCTCAGTCTCCACATGTGTACGTTTTTGGGTTTATTTGCCTGCGGTCAGTTGCTTAATTTCTACGCTTTTATTTGCCACAATTTCAGTGCTGCACTGCTGTACGAGTATGTGTGGTGGGTGTGGCAGGCCATGCCCTCTACTTCTCTCTCTTCTTCTCTGCTCTGCTTTCTGCTGTGTCTGCCTTTCTTACTTATTTTCGTAATAACAATAAATTACATTTTTCTTTAGGTTTTTCCCTTGGACTCGGACTCGTCCGAATGTCCTGTGTCCTGTGTGTGCTTGTGTGTTGTGTGCTCATTTGATAAGTTGTTTTATGTGGCTGTCGCTTGTTTGTGGCTTTTAGACATTATTTGGATTAAGCAAATAAATCTTGTCCTCTGGTTGAACCATTTAAATATTTTTCCTAGCACCGCCCCAGGCCACCTTTGATTATATTTTTATCTTTAACTGCCGCTTCTCCACGTACAAAACGTAAGTTTTAAACTATAGAATCAAATTTCATGCTTACACATTGTATTTCTGGTGTTCGTTCGGCAAACAACTCTTTTTTGAGTTCAAAATTTTCAGTACTTTTTTTCTAATATTCCACATGAACTGAAGTATCTGGTCAATTCGGACTCATCGCCTGCGACCAACAAATTTCGCTGTAGCGATCATTGTTCCAACAAAAGGAAATCATACAAATAACGTTGAAAAAATAATTAAAAACGAGAAGGGACGAGTGAGACCCTTCTTACGCGTCACAACTTTTATACCCGACACTCAGTGCTACATCTGCACCTTAGAGGTGTTTTGTAATATTTTACATTTTTTCTTCATCTGTCATCTACATCTACAACACTTCTCACACCAACACGCTCTTTTAGCTCGCTCCCCTTCCCTGGACCCACACACTGCAGACTCGCGGCAGACGCAATGGCCGCACACAGCAGAAGCAGAGTGTGAATGAGAGTATGTGAAAAAAACATATATAAGCTGCGGGACGGGGTGGGTTTAACCCACTACAATATACCCTATTTATTCTTATAGTACCGGGTATAATAAAAAAACGAATTTAATGTTCTATACAAAAGTTGCACCTTGCGGGCCATAGAAAAATTGTTGAAATATCCATAGGGAATATGTGAAAATGTTGCCAAAGGACACAGGTACATTTTTCCAGAATTTAAAGCAACGCCTCAAAACATTTAAACGTTCGACGTTAGCTTCGCTTATTTTGTCTGGTTCTGTGTGTGTGTGTGTATGTTTGTATTGCCTGCCTTAAGCATGACAACACACACACGTGCACACAAAGCTGAGAAAGAGACAGCCCATAAACAAAGCTGTGCGAGAGAGAGTCTGGCTTGGGGCTGCCTTTTACGCGCGACGCTTTTGTCGCATTGAGGACGTCTCCGAGTGAGATTTGCTCTGGCACACACACACACACACTGTGTCACACACCCACAGACAGACACACACACAACCACTCGCAGAAATAAAATTGTTAAATGACATGCTAGTTGGAATTTTGCGAAATGTTACTGGGGCCCTGGCGCGCACCGTCGAGTTCGACTTTAGCAGCCTCGTCCTGGTAATTTTCCCATTGTCTCTGCAGCTTGGTCGTCTCTCTGTCCATCACACTAATGCATCTGTCTTTCTATTTCTGAATCCCTAACTTACCGCCTATTTTCAGGTGCTGGCAGGCAGGCCTCCAGCTAAATGGCAAAGTTTAGTGGCTAATGGCGCTCAGCTTTAATGCAGTTTTGAATGCAAAATGCCAGCTGCAAACGCCACAGACTCATCGCAATTTTTTTAGTTTTCCAACAGCTTGGCTGGCATTTCTCACTAAAGTTTTAATTAAGCCCAAGCCCATTGCCGACAGCACGTGCTAGCCATTCCCCATTTGGCTCCGTGGCTGACGCACTCGCAGAACGTCGAGTGGCCATTCATTCATTCACTCGTTCACTCATATTCATACCAACACTGCTAAACAATAAAAAAAAATGTGTGTAACTATTCGGGCTATGGTTGTCCTGCTCTTTTACGGCATTTCTTTCTTGCCATTTGCTTGCTAAATGTGTTGCGCTTTTTTTGGCTTGCTGGAATGTAAGTGTTCGATTTTCGCTTTTTTGGCTCAAAATTCAAAGAGGTTTCTGCCTTTAAAATTCCTGCGGCTGTGGTTGGGGCTGTGTGTATCTTCCATCCGGTGTGTGCATCCTTTATGTTTATTAGCCTCCCTTCTAATTAAAGCGTATCAAAAGCAGCCAGAACCCACTTCATTAGGGGAAAGTCCATCATACTGCTGTGGGTCTAGAAGATCCTCCAGCCTGAATGCTGTAGCCAGTTGCCTAATGCTTTCCTGAATAGCTTCGTTGAGGTACAGTCTGCGCTTCATGTTCATTCCTCTAGGCTCATCCGAGATCTGCATCCGTAGCATCCTTGATGAGCAGCACAGGTTGAAGGAGGAGACCACAATGGAAAGCTGTTGGGCATAAAAATATACTTAATTTAACGCCTTTATATAAGTTATAAATAACCCAAAACTCGCACTATATATGGGCAGCCTTTGACCCTGGAACTTGAGCCTCTGCAACTCGCAGACAAACACATGATAAACACAACTCCGCCGATGAGGTGTTCAACAGATGATGAATGTCCAGCGTGGGGGAGCCCCAGAAGGCATACTGAAAGTCAACCAGCAGCACATCGATTGACTCTCCCTTTCACCCGTACTTGAACATCATGTTGTTTGTCCAAACGTAGCCGTGTGTCAGCACATTGATGTGATCGGCGTCGGGCTGAAAGCACCGCAATCCGTGTCTCATATAATGAGGCGAGAGCTGCTCCAACAAATCTGAATGTTTTTCAAGGCTCGGTTGGGTCTTGAGCTAGTCCGCACACGAAAATCGAACGAAAGCTTCGTATTTTATACTTCGTCCAGTATCCTCTCCTCCAGCACTGCCGGGCTACCTGGATCAGTGCCAATTTTCTGACCAGTTATCTCAAATGCTGCTCATTCAATCGCTGAGCTAACTGCTGGTAAAATATTCAGAAATGCGGAAGAAATGGATATTTAAGAGACGCGAGTAAGGCAAGGCTCCAAATATGTATATAACTAAAAGATATTTTCTTTGTAATCTTTATTAGCATATGAAATATTAAAAGATAATCTTCATAATCTTAACAAAACAACTAAACTTTTTGGGAAGTCTTAGTTAGATAGGTGGTGTATTTGCTCCGTTTTGTTCATCTTGATCTGCTGATCGGACACATTGGCCTGTCGTTGCTCTTGCAGTTCCTGCTTATGCTTGATGTCTGTACATTTATAGGCCAAATCGCCCAGGTTCAAAGCATTATCGAGTGCAGCTGCAACGGCCTCAGCCACTGTTGCTCTATTTCCCTCAAATTCCGGCCGCAATGTTGATGAACGTTTGCAGCTGCCCAACTGCCCTGTTGGTGGCTGCAACTGCCACATGTGGCGCGTGTCCCGCAGACAACTGGCCCTGCTTAGCATGGCTGGGAGTACACAATGAAGAGGCGTTTAGTGGCATTGTTTAATTGGCTTTTTCTATTGTCTTACTCACCCATGGAAATCAAGTAGAATATAATACAAAATATGCGAAGCTTGCAGCTCATATTTGTGGCTGTCGCTCCAAAAATCTCTCCCAAAAAAAAATTCCTCTCTCTTAACTGCCTTACTTAGCCAGTATGGTCAAGGACTACTACTTTCTATTGCGAGGGGGAACAAACGACTTTATATACTTGTTCGGGCTGATGTTTTTATCTGTCTGTCGCCTGCTCTAAGCTGAAATCCATTCAAGTTGACGCATTGACAATAGTTTTACGTATTTCAATTCACTTGTTTTTCGACAGTTGGCCAAAGTTTTTCTTTCTTTTGCACTTGAAATGGCATTGGCACTCTCCTCTGGCACTGGCACTTCCCCTCTGGTACTCACAATCTGTTACTTAACCATTTTGACAACTGCTGATGCTGCTGCCCCTGCTTCAGTATTTGTTGCTGCTTAAAGTTCCCTGGGTTTTGCCTTGCCTTTCCTTTTCCTTCCTATCCTTTTCTTTCCCTAGGGTTTTCCACCTTCTTTGCATAGAGCCAGAGCTAGTTTATCAAAACATTTCAAGTTGAAGTGCGGCTGCAAAAACAAAAGCACCCAAGACATCATCGATTTTCTCAAGTGGTATGCGCCCAAGGATGCTAGGGGTTGATGGCATAGCACCAGGATGAAGAGACTGAGGTTGAGGAGGCATCGCACTCCTACAAGGAAAACAGCTCAATCTGAATGCATGGCACTTAGTCAGCTGTAGCAACAACAGCCACTGTTGCCACTGTTCAACAGTGGGAGTGGCAGCAGAAGCATCAGAGCAGCATCGGTGGCAGCCACTTGGTTGCAAGGTGCGGAAACTTCCACGACAGCAGAATGCAATTTGTCTACTCCAAGACGTGCAGCAGGAGGATAAGTTGGGCTCCTTACTATGCGCGTATGTGTATAATCAGTTACAACCAGATGGCTGTACGGCAGAGGAGCGCCTACTGCACTACAGCACCATTCATTCATTCACTCATCTATCCATAACAGGGATCGGAGTCTGGTTGCAACTTGCAAATCTCTGCGACATGTTAATTCATTGAAACAGAGAAACCGATGCGCGAAACTTTGCTCATTATAATTACGAGGATGCACTGCAAATGGGAGCTGACTTAGCTCCTACGACTACTAAAATGCGAAAGATGTAAACTCTTAATGCAAACGATAGATACTCGCCAGCAGCGAGGGTTGCCTGTGAAGTTTAAGTGTAAATTGGATTAGGCTCAGAATTTGCTTAAAATTCGCTCGAGAGACAAGCGTGGGAGAGAACGTGGCGAGCATGGGAGCGAACGTGTGAGCTCCCTGTTCTTCCTCTCTCGCTCTCTAAAGTTTCTGTGCAGTAGCGAACATGGTAGAATTACTAATAGGTAACGTATTACCAGCTTATTCAACACGCTCTCTCAGCTCTCAGAGAGGCAAGCGCTAGAGAGAGATAGCAAACGTTTATTAGTAATTTCACCATAATTTCACCATGAGCAGGTGTTCCTCGAATGAGAAGCACTGTGGTGAATCCGTCACCTATTAGTAATTTCACCATGGTAGCGCACGCCCTCTGCTTAGCTGTAGCTGCACTTGTTCTTCTATCCTCTTTCCGCTTAACTGTTTTTCGATCCCGCTTTTAGCATTGCTTTAAGCACTTTGTCTCACATATGTATACAAATAATGGATAACGGCAATTGACTTGGCGTTGCAAATATTTTTCATTAGAGTATTCACTGTGTTTTAGCGTTTAATGGACTTATCCCAGGACGCATATAATTTCCAAAGATGTGTGCATATCTTCCTGTAATATGTACAATTTGAGTATATGTCACCAACTCATACCTATGTAGGTAACCCCGTTCATGCCCAAGTTATGGATAAGGGATATGGGGCCCCGGTGATCCCAGAACCATATCTCAAACGGCACACGGAAGCGGCAGTAAGTCGGATGGCATGGCATGTCAGGGGCAAGGTGGGGCAGGCTGGTGCTTGGCACGTGCATTTCATTTGATAAATGTTGTCGTTGTCGACGGCGCTTTTGCCTGATTATGCAGCAGAGTCTGCGCTACTGCTCCTGGTCCTGCCTCGGACTCGGCCTCCGCCTCTCTGCCCCTTGAGCGACCTCTTTCCGGTTAAACCGTTGTAGATGCCAAAAACTTGCCTCGACCCCCGTTATGCTCTCCTAGCTATACGAACAAGTATCTTATTATTGCACACGCGCTCGAAAATAAACCGCAAAAAGGTGAAAATATCAAATGGAAGCCGAAGCTGGGGGATCTGTTCTCCCGGAGTTTCTGCTGCTGTGCTGTCTGTAACATGTACACTGACATGAGCTAACTACTAGTGTGTGTGCGAGTTTGTGTTTGTACACACATTTATGTGTGTGTGTCTTTGCGTGTGTTTGTGTATTCGTGTATCTGCTAGATGCGGCACGTTGCCGTTGTAACTTGCAACTTAAATGGGCACGTGACGCGCTGCATGCGTTTGCTTTATTGCGAGAGCTGCTACAAAATTAACAAAGTTTTTTCTAGCCTTTCCTTCCGACTGCCTTCCTACCATCCTGCAGGCTCCTGTCTCTGCCTGAAGCGACAGACAATATGAATGAAGATGTGTGAGGGGCAGGCCATGTAGCACTGACACTCTGCAATTCGAGACAAGTGGGAACGAGCACGACCCAACATAATATCACGCGTATGTCACGTTGTCTCCGGCCAATTTTTGATAGCTACTGCAATCAGCTAAGTGAGCGTGGAGGCGCAAACACCCTCCCCACCCTAGCATTTCCAACATCAATGGCACGGGAAAACGGCTAACGTATAGAGCGGGAAAATGATTAAACGGAAGCATGCAAGAAGCAGTTTAAAAACTTTCGAATGCAATTTTTGGAAAAGTTAAAAAGTCTCTGCATTCGAATTGTGCAAAAGTGTGCAGCAAAATAAAAAATCTAATTTGAATTTTTCTTAAATTTTGATCCTAATTTTTTACTTAATATTATGATACATTTATCAACAACCATTTCCTTCCATGGGTAATGACCAATCAAAAATAACCCCCTGAAGCACAGTGTAATCAAAAGCAAGGGAAAATGTTTCGCTAAGAAATTGAAAGTCAACACGTACACACACACACATAGACACAGAGATAGTCAGCAGAGGAGCACTCCGAACACAGGAAGACACCGACCGGAATATCGAAATCAAATCACAGCATAGTCAAATCCATTTGGAGCTATTTGCATTGCTCGGCATTCCTTCGACTTTGCTGATTCCTTGCTCCTTGATTCCATCTGATTCCGATTCACGATTCAAATTCAGCGGTAGATTCAGATGCAGTTGTAGATGCAGACGTAGCTGGAGATGGCTGGCATTATTCCGTGTGCGTCTCGGCATGTGTCTCTGGGATTTTCCCCTATTTTTTATCGCATTCAAAATTTATTTTCATTGCCGCTGGGACCTGCTTTTGACGGCTTGACAAACATTCAGCTTGAAGTTAATAGCTTGTTGGTTTTCAGCTCGAAAATGTCAAGAAAAAGGTGACACTTTTATGGAACTCTTATGTTTTGTAATTACTCAAGAAAGCAGGCTACCTTGTCCCTCACCGTTTTAAACGATTTCATTTAGTTAATGTTTGATTCAAATAACTTGGTTTTTAACGATTTTTTCAGTCGTATAATTTCTATGTTGTTGTCTATGACACATCATTTTGTAAATTGTAGTGTACTCATGCAGAGTGTTTAGCTTAATCTAATTTAGCACCACCCTAACTTCAAGTTTCTACATAAAAATAAAATACTTTTCCACGCCACAATGTCTGTCCGTCCGTCTGTCCCTCCGGCCGTCTTGTTTGTCTACTAGTTCTCAGAGACTATAAGAGCTAGAGCCACCAATTTTGGCTCCAGATTGCTGTATGCTCACACTGAAACCAGTGTATTTCAAATCTAAAGGCGAGTTAAAGGAGCGTGTTGGTGTGAGAAGTGTTGTAGATGTAGATGAAAGTTGAAGAAAAAATTTAAAATTACACTCAGTCAGTGTACCTGTACCATTTTGTTTTTTTTTTCCAATTTTACATTTGACATATTACATTAATTTCTTTATTGTGGCTATAATAATGATCCAATCGGATCCCAATTCCCTACGGAATGGCGTTTTTAGTTTTCTTTTATCTTCAAAACTGTAGGTTTGGGAGGTTTTCGCCTTTTTGCGGAGGCGGTAGGGGGCGTAGCTAATTTTTTAAATACACTGGTATTTGTGAGCATACAGCAGTCCAGTTCAGAATCAAAATCTCGAAATAAAAAGCCAAGTGCTGCTGTTCGACCGAGTCGGAATTCAAATCAATTTAATCTCTTCTTCTTTTCAATTTCGATATTAAATGCATGTTCTTCCTCTTTCTCTATCGTATTCACATATCACATGTATGTTCTATAGCAACAAGCTTCTGTCAGTATGTCGTAAATGCAACAATTCAATAGCTTAATACTACAAATTCATTTTACTTAGTCCTTTGCCCTTAGCCCAAAACTGGTCATTGGGACAATAGTGCATCTGCACCTCAGCGGTGTTATGTCAAATTTTAAATTTTGTCTTCATCTGTCATCTACATCTACAACACTTCTCACACCAACACGCTCGCCGCTCTTCCCTAGACCCACATACTGCTGACTTGCGGCAGAGGCAGAGGCAGAGCCCTCACAAAAAAAAAAACATATATAAGCTGCGGGACGGGGTGGGTTAAAAGTCGGTAGAGGCATCGTCACGGGGAGGGCAGAGGCAGAGACCGAGTGAAGCAAAAGCAGAGTGTGAATGAGAGAATGTAAAAAGAGCAACAAAAGCTGCGCGACAGGGTGGGTTTAGCCACTGGAAATTAATTTCTCCATTGTGGCTACAATAATGATCCGATCGGATCCCCATTTAGTGATCTGATAGATATGGCCATTTCCTACGGAATGGCGCTTTTAGTTTTCTTTTATCTTCAAAACTGTATATTTGGGAGGTTTTCGCCCTTTTGCGGGGACGGAAGGGGGCGTGGCTCATTTTTGAAATACACTGGCTTCAGTTTGAGCATATTGCAGTCTGGATGCAAAATTTGGTGGCTCTAGCTCTTATAGTGTCTAAGACCTAGCCGAAAAACAAGACGGACAGACGGACGGACGGACAGATGGACAGACAGACATGGCTCTATCGACTCGGCTATTGATGCTGATCAAGAATATATATACTTTATGGGGTCGGAAAAGCATCCTTCTGGGCGTTAGTATGTAACGTTATTCGCACAAATACAATATACCCTATTTACTCTTTGAGTACCGGGTATAAAAATAATTTTAAATAAGACCG